TGGGATTGGTGATGTTCCAAAATCTAAAGCCGATTTCGAGCTTCCAAAGTTCGAGCATCTGTTTTTTTTTTTTTTTAACTAAGCTATATTCTTCACTCATATAGCTCACTCTACCTAACCTCTTGCCTAAATCCAGTTTTGAACATCGATTGTTGCAGCAATCCTAAGAGTTATGGGTTGGCACCGACCTCCTCCCGTGTCCAAGCATCGCAGCTTCTTCCTAACCCCAGGCAATGGATGGGAGGGAGGGGTCACCAACCCTCCGAAGCCCTACCAGGGGGGGCAAGCCGACTAACTCAGCTGGTGAACGTGCAGCGAGCCGCAGGAGGCTGCGGGGGCTCGAGTGAGAATTCCATGGGGAATCGAGCCCGCGACCTCCTGAATGCCACTTTCGTGCTCTACCAACTGAGCTAGGCCGCCGGCCCCCTTTTTTTTTATTCGGACCATTTCTCGATTTATCTGTGTCATCCTTGTGCAGGGTCCATGCTAATCTTCTCTGTGTCATTTCAATTCTAACAGAGGTCCCGAAGGACGACCAACTTTGAACTTAAAAGAGTTTGGATATTCAAATTTTGTTCGTGCTTTATGGAAACAAAATTATGAACCAAGTTTGATTTTATTTTTTTTTCCCAAGGGGCATGGCCTCTTATCTTATTGTATTGATCTGTTTTTAAAATTTTCGGATTTGAAATTTGAACTCACAATCTGTTCATCAGCTGTTACATGTGTTCCAGGTTTGAACTTTTAGCTTAGACTTTTGAACTTTAAGCTTTTAGACCTTCCAGCTTCAGGCCTTGGAACTTGTAGCTATGGACTTCCCAGTGTTCAAGAGAGTGGTTATGGGACGTGGGTATCCGTGTTTCAGGTTGACAGGAGCAAGGAGGACACCGTGCTTGCTCGTTTCAACGAGGCCGGTGTGCCATGCACACGGATCGGACATGTTTCCTCTCACCCGACAATCTCCGTGTCTATTGATGGCGTGGAGCAAATCGAGGGCAAGACGGCAACCTTGAGAGATATTTGGGAAGAGACGAGCTTTTCCCTGGAAAGTTTGCAGAGAGCTGAGGAGTGTGTGAGGCAGGAGCGGAACTCGTTGAGGCATCGCAAGGCCCCGGCCTGGGAGTTATCATTCGCACCAGAGTGGACACCAACGGACGCGATGGAGAGCTCAAAAAAACCGAAAGTGGCGGTGGTGAGAGAAGAAGGGAGCAATGGAGACCGGGAAATGGCCGCTGCTTTATACATGGCGGGACTTGAACCGTGGGACGTAATGATGTCTGACCTGCTCAGCGGGGCTACCTCTCTTGACTCTTTCCAGGGACTGGTTTTCGTCGGAGGATTTAGGTGAGAACTTCAAGTGTTTGAGCCAGAAAGTCTTCCTGCCGCCTGTCCAGTGGGCCTAGAGATGCAACAATGTCATGCCTGCTCAATATATCTAGGGAGCTGACAATGAAGACTCACAACCTGCTAATTTTGCACTTGCACTTTCTAGAATGAATCTGGGTGTTATTTCAGACGAATGCATCCAGAAAGTTCCCAGGTAGAGTGTGCCCTAAGTGGATCCAGGGATGGAAAAATGTCAGGACCTGCTCAGAGGATCTACGGGACATCAGTGTCAGAACCTTCTAAGGGCAGTCAGTCAAATGTACCAAGGAAAGTCCCCATTGCGAGTATGCCGTAAGTGGAAATCAGAACCTTAGAACCTGCTAAGGAGACACTGATGCTAGCAATGTCTCGATTGAATCTGGGCATAATTTTGACAAAATACATCCAGGAAAGTCCCCTGTTTGCATATGCCCTATTTGAATCTACAAATGGAAAATGTCAGAAAAAGGACGTAACAACATCAGATCCTTCCTGTTTGACAGGGGGGCGGGTGGGGGGGCCAATGTCAGAGCCTGCTCAATGGATCTAGTGGGGGGGGGTAGCAATGTGAGAACCTGCTCGGTGGGTCAGGGTGCGGTGGGGTGGGGTGGGGGAGGGGGAGGAGGGTTAGCAATGTTAGAATCTGCTCAGTCGATCTTGGGATTGGAGTGGAAAAACGACAAGAAGACTCTTTGCTTTGCATGGATTTCAAGTTCAAAGACCTGCTCTGCCTATTCAAAGGTAATGAGGGAGCTACTCCTCCCGTTTTGGACATATTTTGTTCCTTCTCTTCTCTGCGGTATTCAAATGTTAGAACCTGCTCAATCCAGCTCTTCTTTTGCCGGTAGCTGTATTTTGCACGACTTGCAATTGATTTCCATTTCCACTATTTCGACCAGCTGGGACTGAACTGCTTCCTTGTTGATTTCCTATCCATTGATAGTCTGCTCAGTCTGCAAACACCTTGTTTTCCACACCATCATCCATAGAGTAGCCTTTCTTTCTGTTTTTTTTTTTCAATTGTAGTATTTCACTCATCTACGTCCAGTGGAGTTCGAACTCGGGTCCGTAATTTTATTCCTTTTTTTTCAATCCGAATCTTCTCTGTAATAGAGTCTGTAATGACTCTGTATGGTTCCATTTTTAACGGATGTCCTGAAGGACATGACTCTGATGGAACTGCAAATTTGTCTTTTTGACATGACAGCTATGCCGATGTTCTGGACTCTGCGAAAGGTTGGGCTGGCACAATTCGATTCAACCCGAGTCTGTTGGAGCAGGTGAGCTAAGCCTTCAGACACAATTTTCTGTTGTTTGTTCTTGTGTGTGTGTGTGTGTGTGTGTGTGTGTGTGTGTGTGTGTGTGTGTGTGTCGGGGAGGTGAGGGTGAGGGCTGCTCCAAATTAGCTCTTTTCTTTTTTCTCTTTCTTTTTTTGAACCCTGTATGTCATCGCTCTTCCATTCCTTCAACTTGACGTGTTATCACCATCCTTGTCAAACCATCCTTGTCAATGGGTTTGAACTTTGAACTTTGAAAATTGAAACTTTGAACAAGTTTCATCAAATATTACTTGTGCCACTTGTTACTATTCCCATTTGGAGGGATTGGCTTGATTGGTGGTTTGTTTGCCTTGCACATCATCAGTCTATAATTTCCTATTGCAAGCAAACAATGGGTCGTCACAAGACTCCCAACTCCACGGAAGTCTAACATTTAAGAATTTGAAATTTTAAAATGACTGTGAAAGTGCAATTGAAATTTGAAAACTCATTCCGATTTCCCCGTAGAAAGTCCGAGCAGAAATTGAATGGAAAGCAGGAATGAAGAACCATTGTTATCAGTAAAGGAGTTTTAGTGAGTAATATACTCTTACTCTCTCTCTCTCTCTCTCTCTCTCTCTCTCTCTCTCTCTCTCTCTCTCTCTCTCTCTCTCTCTNTCTCTCTCTCTCTCTCTCTCTCTCCGTCCGTCCGTCCGTCTGTCGCAATAGCTTTGGTTTCTTCAGCTCCTCATGCTATGCCTGGCACCCAAGATGTCAGTTAGCCCACTCATGCTTCCTGCTGATGCAGCTGCTGCTCTTCTCCTTGACTGCTACAGCATCGTGTCCAGCTGCTGTGGCTGTTTTCCAGCATTCACCTTGCGAACTTCAACATTCCTTTGTGTGCGCCACTTTAAAAGTCGGTCAAAACTGAAGAGGCGGTCCCACACCATGGTTCCTACAATTAGTCTCATTCTCGTCCACCTGGTCCGTTTACGAAAAACTTGTATTTTTGGAGTCATTCCCTTGCCGTTTGCTATAGCAGCAATCACAACCACCGGCCTTGTAAAATTTTGTGCTCTGGTCGCCCGTTACTATCATCTTTCCCCGAGCACAAAACACTCTAATGCTGAATGTATACAAACTTCAAGTCGGGTCAAATACAGTCGTCTTGTAGGTGCATTGGGGAAGACAGTAGCCCTGCTGCAATTAACCATGTTAATGTAATCCTGATTATATCCTCCCTCTCATGTCGGTGTCAGATATCGCAAAATCGCAAAATGAGCGGCCAGATAGAGTCCTTCGCTCATTTTGCGATGTCGCTATTTTGAGGGCCGAGTGTGAGTATGCCCTCAGTGAAGCCTTTGCCCTAAAGCAAAAATTATTACCATTCGCTTTCGTCTTTCCTGTTCTCACTCCCTTTTGTGAAGCGGAGACATACCAGAAGTAAAGCAAATTGTTTTGCAGTTGAAGTTGTTGAACTAATTTGCTGTACTTCTGGTAGGTCTCCGCATCACAGTGTTGTCACTTGAGCATTTTTTGTCCTCCAGACAAGATGGTTTGGACACCGGCCATCCATGCATATCAATTTATACCAGGATGTCCCTGGCTCGGAGTAGCGTAGAAGTTAGAACCATTCGAAGGGCCAAAACTCTAATTGGCGCTATGTCAGTCTTACAAGTGTGAATGAAACTGGTCGTCATAATGGCTAGATTCGTGCCGGCTTAATATAATAGTTAGCACCATTCGGGCCTGACTTGAATGAACATCAGTGAAACAGTTGGGTATAGGATGTGAAATTTTGCTGCATACTTAGCTTGCTCGAGCTCGTCTCCAATTTACTTCTCAGATGTCGTTTCCTATTTAACTATCTTCATCTTCTTTTTCCTTCTTCTTTTTTTTTTTTGCAAGGCAGTGAGTATTTCAGCCAATGTGTTCAACCATCTTTGTCTATTTTTCATTTTTGTGATGGAAACCCTTTTGTCCTGTGTGCTTGGGACTGGGAGGATATGGGCCCACTTACTTCTGTCATCCTTTGTTGAGATGCCTCCTTTCTTTACCAAACTGAGGATAATGCATGGCATTTCTGGGCTACCAGAGTGGGCCGGGACCACTTGCCCAGCCGTGCCGTAGCCTAGTGGCATTTATGTTTCTTATGATTTCCTTTGTCTTTCTTTTTGTTTTCTTAACCACCACTCCATCTGGATCTATTTTGGTAATTAAAACCAGAAGTTGGGTTTCCCTGAGTGTAAGATATACAGTGCTTCCCTGAGGGGGAGTAATTGTGGTACCGTGCCTGGGCACTGTAGATTTTGGCCCAGTACTTGTAGATGAAAAAAAAATGGGACAGCACAAGGGCCGTTGGGAGTGGTGGTTCAATTACACTGAAGTCAGTTGAACACTGTTTGTCGGCGTTTGAGGTTTCAACTGGTCTATGAGTACCTTAGGGCCATGCCCCAATGGTGCTACGTTCATGCTGCGAAAGCGTGAAACTGGCCACTATTACGGTCAGGTGCATGCTTTTAGAGCATTAGAAATGGGCAAAAACATGGCCTTATCATGACCAGTTTTATGCTGCCAAAGCATGACCCTGGCCATCTTTTTATGGCTAGGTTCATAGTATCCAAGCATTAAGAAAATAGCATTGGTGTTTCCTGCTCCTTGCTCCAGGAGTGTCAATTTGGCTCATAAGAGTCACAACTTAACCAGTCGCTTAACGAGTACAGACTTTTGTGTCCTACCATTCCGCTAACAGTGAGGGACTTAATCTTTGGTTGGATTGGATGCAGTTTCAAAACTTCTACAACAGGAAAGACACGTTCAGCCTCGGAGTATGTAATGGTTGTCAACTTATGGCCCTCTTAGGATGGGTGAGTAATTTCAATTTTCAAGCCATCCATTTCCAAGTACCCTTCTACACTTCCCTTTCCCTTCTGTCCCTAACCCCACCCTACTTGTAAAAAAAAAAAAAAAAAAAAAAAAAAGAACAACTTGAGGGGAAATGACAGCCCCCTTAGGAAAGATGAGAGTGATTGCAAATCATTACTTGTGTTGCAGTCTCTTTTGTGAGATTCTGGAAGGGTACTCCTTTGTTGTTGCTGCTTCCAACCACACACCTACCCCCCCCATCTAATTCTTAGTCCCTCCATCTCCACTCAAGGGGTACAAACCAGGACAGTGCACATGTCCAACCCCGAGACTCGATTCCTTGTCTCCTCTCTATCTTCAGACTCAAGGCTCTCAAGTCCAAACTCCTTAGGTTTTTCCTCCGTCTACTATTTTTTACTGAGGCCAGGCACAGTATGCAGATGGAGAACACCTGTGCTGCCGATGGTGACACAACGCAGTTCCAGAATGCAAGCACATTCCTGTATTACAATACGCAAGTCTACATGTGTCTGAGTACATATGAAACAATTTCGTCCTCTCTCTCTTTTCTTTCGACTTCAGAATCGGACAACGGCTTCTGTTTCGTGCTCTCGGAGGGAAAGAGGTTTCCAGTTTTGCAGAAGAAGATGTCCACCCGCACTGGGGTGGTGTTGAGTGCTCATCTGGAGGCTCAACTTTTCAGTCCACTTTTAGCTGTTTGGTTGAGTGTATGCCTCCTGATCTGGAGGTCGCGCATTCGATCCTTGTGGTTGGCTCGTGGAAGTCTACTTCATGTAAGACTAGCGTAGCAACCGCCAGTGTGGAACACACTGGTTGGTGGCTGCGTTGATGCCTGTGTTGGGTATGTGTGTGACTGGGTACACTGGGTGGCGGCCGAAAACGAGTACCCTTGCTGGCGTGGGGTTAAGTGCTCATTTTGGGGCTTACGTTTCACCCCAGTCCACTTAGCCGTTTGGGTTGAGTGTATGCCTCCTGATCGGGAGTTCGTGCGTTTGGTCCTCGTGGTCGGCTCGTGGAAGGCTCATGGAAGTCTATTTCATTGGAATCCCTGACAGTCCAGTTCTTGGTTTCTTTTCTCTATGCTGTTGTTATCTGTTTGCGATGTGAATGCACGTTGTTTCTTTATCGAGATAACTATGGCATTACCCCGGTCACATTTTCAGTTTTAAATGCACTTAAGGCATCCCTCGAATACAACATATCCCACCCTACCCTAAAGCTGGGTTGTATACATTCATGATTTTCCTTGCTTTGGAGCAACGTTTGCGAAATCGTGACTGAAAACGCATTTAAAACTGAAAACTGTGACTGCGGCCTAGTTTTCCCTTTTTTATCAATTACTCTCTGACCAGAGGATTGTGCTGCTCAATTCATGGATATACCTGCAGGTTCCTGGACATGATTTGGTTGGATTAGGAAGGGACGAAGTGCAACCGCGTTTTGTCCACAATGAATCTGGGCGGTTTGAGAGCCGGTTCTCCACGGTGCAGATTGGGAAGTCACCCTCGATTATGCTTCAGGGCATGGAGGGGAGCACGCTGGGCATCTGGGTTGCCCATGGTGAGGGCCGTGCATTGTTTCCAGACAAGCAGGTTCTGAACAGAGTGCTGGAGAGCGGTTTGGCACCCGTCCGGTATAGCGATGATGATGGAAATGCAACGGAAGCATACCCCTTCAATCCCAACGGTTCGCCGGAAGGTATCGCCGCACTTTGTTCAGCTGATGGCCGCCATCTGGCAATCATGCCGCACCCTGAGCGGTGTTTCATGATGTGGCAGTTCCCCTGGTCACCGCCGTCTTGGGAAGGGAAACTCCAAAAGGCCGGCCCGAGCCCTTGGTTAAGGATGTTCCAGAATGCACGGAAGTGGTGCGAAGGCCACTGACTCCACTGACTCTCTTTTCGATTCTCCCACAAGGTGTGGAACTTGCAGTGCATCCACAATGGCCACACAGCAACACTGTGATGGTAGCTGCTACGCTAGATATTTTGTTGCGGTGTCGCCATTGCTCAAGTAATCCTTTGCATGGTTGAGAATGAAGGTATGTGGCAACAAGGCAAGTGTATCCTTCCCTCCCCCCCCCCCCCCCCCCCCCCCCCCCCCCCCCCCCCCCCCCCCCCCCCCCCCCCCCCCCCCCCCCCCCCCCCCCCCCCCCCCCCCCCTCCTCCAATCTCCTAGTTTCCACTCCATCTGGCGAACCCCCTGTCCTCGTTGCCGGCAAGCATTCACAACTTTTCTCAATTGAATGCTAGAGAGAGTAGTCGTAAGCTGTGAAGATTACTAAGTTCCCCTTTGTTTGGAAAGGGTGTGAAATGTTAGAACTCAGGTATTGAGGCTTTTCATTCCAATTTGCTGCTTTGTCAATCTCTCCCACTTATTACCACTTATTAATCACTCGAGAACATTTCTAGTAGAACAGTTCTCAACTTGCCGGCAGTAGGGCAGTAGGGCGTCAATGTTTGGTTACAGGAACTTCGTTAGCAAATGAGTGTACTGTTGGCCCTCAGGTTTCGGTGATATGTTGATCGTCGATTTGCCATTTGCCTCAGTAATTAACTATCAGTTAGGATGCCTGCCAGTTTCTACTTCCTGCCTCCAATCAGTCTGTAAAGTCCGTTTACCCGAGATCCTCAAGTCAATTTACCTGAGACCCTCACGTGCCCACCCCACCCCTTCCCAAAAGAGAGTATAGCGTGATTAGGAGATTTTCTGTTCCAAATGATGATGTTGAAGCTTTTATGATGAAGGTGGAGGCTCTGGAGCTTTCATCAAATGAATCCAGAGCTATGCTCCACTTGCTTAGCAGATGTTTTTGTAGCTAGAGAGAGAGAGAGAGAGAGAGAGAGAGAGAGAGAGAGAGAGAGAGAGAGACAGACAGACAGACAGACAGACAGATAGACAGGCAGACAGACAGACAGACAGACACACAGATACACAGACACAGACACACAGACACACAGACACACAGACAGACACAGACACAGACACACAGACACACAGACACACAGACACACAGACAGACACACAGACAGACAGACAGACAGACAGACAGACAGACCAGCATATTCTTGGAAGTAGACGGAGATGTTTCAATAGAAGATGTGATGCTTCCTTTATCATCAAAAATGATGTTTTTTTGACACATCATTTGGCAACTTACAGTGACGAAAAGTTGCGATTTCGTTTCAGTTTTTCGCAGTCAAGTGTGGGTCAACAGCGCTGTGAGGGGTTTACCCATTTCCTGCTTCATTTGCCTGTTTTGCATATTGGCTTGTCTGGAGCATGCTTTTGTACATCTCCGCCCCGCATCTGCTTGTTGCATGGACAAGTGTTGGTTGGACATCAGCAGCAGCGGGCAGTCTTCCCCCGAAGACAACGTACAGTCCTTGTAGCTGAATTTGGTGCATCTTTCTGTCCAAACTCAGCTAGAATGACCGTACGTTGTATTCGGGGGAGGACTGTAGGCATGAAGACTGGTAACTGTGTACAGGATGTGCAATGAGCAGTTGTAGTACAGTCGTCGGTGGTAAAGCAATGATTTTGGCAAATGCTCACAGGCAAACAGGGTTGTCCAATACTCCTTTAGTCTAGCAACTGTGAATGTGTTCACTTAATACTTGTCCCCTTTTCTTTTTTTCTTCCCCTCTTTGGTGTTTATTTTCTGGTGCAAAGCTCGTATTAATTGAAATCCGAATTGCTGCGGAGTATCTCCTGTTCTTTTCTTCTTCCTCATTTATTTTTTGCTTTTTTTTTACCAGTGCAAAGCGATGACTATAGCACATATGGACCGTCTGTGGGATATAGACAGTGTGACGTACAGAGTTCGTAGTGTGCGCATCGACTATGTACATTGTAGAGTATTGTGAGTGCATAAGTATATGGACAATATGTTGTGTAGTGAGATTCAACAAGGGGGACATTCAACGAGAGGGTCCTGTCGAGATACATTTGGACTGACTGAGCAATTTGACATTGGCCCCTACGCAAGTACAAGGTGCTGGGGGAAACCTTTGGAACAAAGGGCCGCATCTCAACAGATGGTGACGACAAGGCGTTTCTACTACTTACGACACCCTGTTCCCTGTCTAAGCCATCCGAGGGACATTGAACAACTTCAGAGTATTCAAGTGCTCAGAATTTTCATAACAAAGACTCTCAGCCTCATGAGCTCAAAACACATTCAACAAAACGTAATGAAGGGGTGGGAGGGGGAGGGGCTGAGGGGGAAGGCAAACCTAACCAGGACGATAGACGAATTCAGGGTATTCATGCACTCGAAAACATGCCGATAGCGATGAAATTTGTGTGAGCTTTTTCAAATGTTCCTTGGTTTGCATATGCTTGTGCTATCTCAACAAGAGCAGCTCCGAAGTATTTACCGACCAAGAATTTCAAAATATTCAACGAGACAAGGGAGAGAGCATAACAAGGATTCTGACGTCAGGAGTTCAAAACGTTCAACAAAAGAAATGGAGGAAGATCCAGTTCCCGAACGGCCGAACGCCTTCCGAAGGGGTCCCGTACGTTCGGGCGTTCGGGTTCGGGCGTTCGGCCCGTCCCGAACATCGGTTACCCTGTATATATATATAGGGTAACCGACGTTCGGGACGGGCCGAACGCCCGAACCCGAACGCCGGAACGTATGGGACGCCTTATATATATATAGATAGATAGATAGATAGATAGATAGATATAGGGTAACCGACGTTCGGGATGGGCCGAACGCCCGAACGTATGGGACCTCTTGAGGATGCGTTCGGCCGTTCGGGCCGAACGCGGACCCAAAAAAAAAAAACAAAAAAAAAACAAAAATCAAAAAAATCTGAAAAAAAGATATGTTATGAAGAAAAATAAATTAAACAAGATTTGCCTGAGCATTACATCCAAATTCCTTACCAAATTTGAAATAAAAATAAAATATGGGAAAAAAATACTAATAAGAAAAATAATAAAAAATAAAAAAGAATTAAATTTAGCGAGTCCGTGAGCACGTTTTCCACATCGCCATCTTTGGACATTTTTCATTCTCTTTTGGCATAGCTAAATGCCCTGGAAATTTACAGATCTGTACTTCACATAACGCAAACCCCACTAAAAAAGTTTCAAAAAATAATAAAATTGTTTAGATCCTGAACTAAAGTGAAAAACAAAAGTTAAAAGTGAAAAAAAATGTGGGCGAGCACGTTTTGAGACCGCCATCTTTGGTGATTTTTAATTCTTATTTGGCTGAGCCAAATGACTTGAAAATTTAGAGGCATGTAACTCGTGTCATTGAGAACTCACAAAAAAAATTCAAAAAAACAAAGTTATTTTTAGGCCCCGAAATAATTTTTGGCGGGGGCCGAACGCCGTCAAGTTCGGACCCCGTACGGGACCCCGAACGCCCGTACGTACGGAGGTCTGCCCGGAGACCTCGGTACGTACGGCCTGGTGATGATCCTGTATACATATATATATATGAGGGTTCAGCCTCCTGATGAGTCAGTGAAACTCCGATGAAACAGTTTGTCACAGCCCCTCGTTTGTTGTCCTCTTCTCTCTCTCTGCCTACGGTTGACCGGGCAGTTCTGTTTGTGACGATATATATTGTTTGTTGTCCTCTTCTCTCTCTCTGCCTACGGTTTACCGGGCAGTTCTGTTTGTGACGATATATTCGGGAGTGCCCTGTCTTCTGGGCTACATCCCCCTATTCTTTTCTGAATTTTTGAACGGATTAAAATTACAAGTGGGACCTGCCGCAGCAGCGAAGAACGATGACAAAATCATTTTGCGAAACATCGCAGCCATCAGTTGGATACCATCTTTGCAATGTACCCCTACCGGAATCTGCCCAACTTTGCCAAATGGCCCGACAGTTGCTAACTTCTCGTAGGTGCGTTTGCAAAAGGCCAAGCGGATTTGCACACCCGCCTGACAGGGGCATAAGACAAACATGTCAGCCCAAAATGCCATTCCACTGTGTCCATATCTTTTAGGGACATTTTGACATATATCTCAACTTATAGGGCTATTTGGCAAATTACCAATCGCCCCCCAAAAGGAGACTCTCTCTCTCTCTCTCTCTCTCTCTCTCTCTCTCTCTCTCTCTCTCTCTCTCTCTCTCTCTCTCTCTCTCTC